GTCTGCTTTTCTTACAAAGATCATACTTCTTTTATTTTACTTTTTAACCATACTTATCTGAGGAATAAAAAATTGACCATTTTACATGCTTCTATTTATGATTGCAGGACTTCGCTGATATGAACGTTTAATGAACATTCGGGACGTTTAAACTTTGTCTAGACGACTAATGTGCTGCTCGAACATATCAGCTCCTTTCAAAAGATCTGTTCGAACATATCAGCTGCGTTCGAAAGAACTTTTTAACAGTTCCTATGATAGGAGTTGAAATGGAATTGTCATACCCCTAGCTGTTTACATCAATTATGAAAACTTTCAAGAACAGTAAACGTTTTGGGACAGACTTTAGAAAAATTGGCTTTGATCATACGGATCTACGAGCAGCGTTACGTCTGACCCATAACACAGCTAAACCTCGATACAAAAGTAACTGCCGAAAATTCCAATCATAGTTCTCCGCTCAGGAACATCACAGAAAGCTCATTCTTTTTCTAGTTGAAAGAGCATCGCCTGAACTTCGAAAAACACAGGAAACACAATTGTTGGGATTGACTTCCAGGAAGAAAAAGTACGATACCAAATGTCGCTAAAAAAGCTCGTGCAACATATACTTGTTTTCTTTATTCTTTTACTAGAGTGTGAAGAAAAATGTTTTCTTAAAAGTCAGATAGATGAAAAGATAGCCCATGCAGAACTCTATCGACTTTTCTAGCTTAAAACGTTTCTCAGTAATTCTTTAACGGTAAATAAAGCGCATTATCAGTCTTAGTTTTGATAGATAGCACTACTTTGCATGAGAAAGATGGACATAAAGAAAAATTCGCTATTCGGGGCTTTAAACGTGTTAGTAAAGGTTAAAACTAATGTAAAGGAGGGAAACGGATAAGGCAGTTTAGTGGCCTCAATTTGTTTCGAATAAAAATTACATACATCAAAGGATGGGGGCGATTATTTGATGGAATCGGCCCCTGCTTGAATTCCATCGAAACACACATGGTTAGATGCAGAATGAACAGGAAAACAGTTCTAGCCACTCGGCAGACCTTGGAGTTGCTCTAAGAAAAAACTAGGTCGAATTTACTGTAACCAAAGTTCTGCTCTTCTTTGTTCAACGGTGACGATCCTGTGGTTCACACTTGTCCACTAACCACGACGATACATATACCATTCGATTGAGAATTTCTCGCGCTACAATTTTATATATATAAAGTAGTGAAAAAAGTGTCCTAGGGCACCTTGACGTTAGAAATACTTTATGCAGCGCAGAGATTTTAGCATGTTTTATCCGGTTTTCTCTTCGGGAATATGATACAATCAGAGTGAGTCATAGATCTGAGACTCGCTTGAAGGTTGAGATTAAAATTAATATATGGCTCGACATATAGCTGTTATTTCATCTCAAAGTTTAGTCGGCGCTATAATTTCGTATATATAACAAGCGTTTTAATTAAAGCAAAGATAACGTAAAATGTTTTGGGCCGAACTGAATGCAAAATGTGCTGTATAAAGTAGAACGAAAGGAAAGTCTTTTTCTTTCGAAGTGGTCGGCAAGTTGGAGTGTATAGTAGTAATAAGTTTCAAAGTATGCAAGCAGTTATCTCGAAAATGTCTACTGTTTGCTCTTGTGGTAAATCTTTCCGTCGCGCTACTGCCGTTCGCCCTCTGCGCTCTCTATCAATGTGTCTGTTTATTTCGATTTGAATGTTGAAAACGCTTGAATGGAGTTCTGGGATTTGTAATCGCTGCTCTATTTCATATTATATCTGGAAACATAATAATCCTGAGTTCGATCAAATTATAAAACAAATGTGTGAAGGACTAAATCCAGTTGAAGCTCATAATGATGAACAAGTACGTCTTGTAGATTATTTTTCTTCAAGCAGTTTGGGGGTTCTGTTTGTTTTTTTCTGTTTAGACAGAAATAATGGAATCAGATATTGATTCTTCGAATTCATCAGCCCAGATTCAAACGAGTACATCTGTTCAGCCCTATCATCAACATCAGTCCGTTCAAACCAATAATGTTTGTGAAATCCCAGTGAACTGTACTATATCTTTGCACTAGTAAGAGACCTATTATTTTCATCCGAGATTTCTTAAAAGCTGATAACCTTCTATTTCTAAGATTATCCATTTTTTATTCTCTAGCATGTGCTGTGTTTGTAAGATCGAGATTTCTGGTGAAACAATGACCGTTAGTGAGAAAGATCGATAATACTCGTTTTCACAAAAAATGTCTTTGTACCGAGCGGTGCACGTTGTTGTCCGCAGCATATGATAAATCATCGTTTAACACGTGAAGCTATTGATAGACTTTGTCCTCATTCTATCCAGAGGATTGCCTTATCCTGCGGTGATATTCTTGGATTGTTCGTAAATGTCACAATAATGATGAATAATGAAAAACGATTTAATTTTGACGACACGGTGAACTTAACGAATGAAGATCATTACAATTTGACTGGCTTAAGTAAAGAACAATTTGATCATTTGATGACCATGGTATCAACGGCCATGACTATTGTTATTAGGATGATTATCATGATAAGAAAGAAGAGACTGTTGATAGAAGAGATTGATATAATTGTGCAAATTATATTTTTTCATTTCCTATCGTTTTTTTTCTCATATTTTCCTTGTTGATTGTTGTTTTAATTGCCGTTTAATAAACTGTAGCGAAATTCAAGAACGGTTTGGTTCAGTTTGCACTTACTTCAGTTTAAATGTAAAGAAACTCACGGAGTCCTTAGGTGGAAATTGATAAAAAATACTAAAATGCACCAAGTACTCGAGGCAGAAAATTCACTTCTGTTCTGTTATAAGAAAACGTATTCCTTTCTATCAGAACTAGTTCTATAGATGTTCTAACCAGACATAAAACTCTCAACCGTAGTTCGGGTTCTGTTCGACATGTAGAGCAGTGATATTTTTGTTTCAGATCAAAGTGTAGTTACTTAATTGTTAATCCTGAAACTGGAACATGAGTTTATACACTTGAATGCTAGAACAGAAACATTTGGTAAGGAAAAAGGTGACTGTATACTATTAATGGATCTAAATAATGAAAACAATTATTTAGATTGGAAACGTAAGAAGCAATCGCCTCGTGGCTATTTAATTGCGCAACAGCAAATGCGGACAGAAGAAGAAGAAAAACTTGGTGGTTTCAAGATCTTAGGTACGGCTATCAAAACAATAGGAAACGATCAGCAGAAGTATCTATAGTTTCCTGCTGCTGAGGCATTTGGCGATTGATTATCTTCACATTACTTGTGAATATTTTAGGAACAAGAAGAGAAAAAGAAACAACGGCGAATACAGCAGCGAAAGATGAGGTCTGAATCGATCGCTAGGATAAAACAATTGCGTCGACAAACAACAAAAACAATAAAAGTAGGTTGAAGCACTCTGTTCTGTTTAGTATTGTAACTGGATTTCTCTTCAGCGGCAAATAACAGTTTCACCACCACCACCTTCACAAGTATCAGGTCCAGTGTTTGTCGATGGCAGCTGGAGATTCGGACAATTTTCAGTGCTGCCACTCCCTGTAATCTTTCTATAAAAACATTTGTTTTTATCTTTTCTTGCGCTGTTTTCTGTTTTTATCATTGTTAATGTACCTAATCATGTATGTTCAATAAAAAGCAGCTACTAAAAATCTTGCACAAAAACGGATATTTTCGCAAAAGTCTCGTCAACAGTGCAAAAAAATGCAACAAGAAAAGCTCGGATATGTCAGTCCGCGGACCTGTTTGTAGTATCTGTGACATCAGATTCCTGATACATCGCAGGATACAGCGATGATGTTCTCGGGTGTTAGATATCGATAAAAACAATGACCTAGTCTTGCAATTTCCAGCTTTCGAAGTACAATGTTTGTCTGCGATTAAATCGGATAATGCGTGATGGCCGTTTAGTTTTAAACGTTAATTTATCTCACTCTTCTACAGAAGAGTTTAAGTTCATCGAGTAGTCGACGGAAAACTATATCGGATCCGCAAAATAGAAGAAGATTCACCTTTGAAAAATAATCTTAGTCCACATCTTCTAGTTATTCCAAAATCTAAGCGGACAGAACTTCTTCAGCTGGCTCACGACCATCCAATTTCAGGCCATCTTGGCCGTCGAAAAACTTTGCATCGATTATCGATTCGCTTCCATTGGGGCGGAATGAGGCGTGACGTTGCGCATTATGTAAGATCGTGCGACCTGTGCCAACGTTTTAAGGCCGCAAACGAAAAGAAAGCAGGTTTAATGCAATCTCACGTAGTACAGTCGCCTTGGCACACTATCGGAATTGATTTAACTGGTCCTTTACCGAAAACTCCGCGCGGGA